AGCTTCTTTGTAAAGTCTGCATTTGGCATCATCAGAGGATTTTTCGATTTTGGCCTTAATGGCATTTGTGTGGATAGCTTGTTCTTGCGCAGCCAGGATTAGTGACTCTATTTCTTTCTTTAATGTACCTGTTGTTAACTATAACCAAGTTTTTTTCACTGTCCACTTTATCTTTTATTTTTTCCAGAAATTGGCCATGCAGTGCTTTGTTCTGCCAACTCTCCATTCTTGATTTTATCACATCTTTTCTGTATTCTTGTTTCGTCTGTTGGACCTTCAGTAGATTTTTGTTCTTTACTTCGATTAATAGATGTTCTTGAGTTTCTTTTAAATATTATTATTATTATTATTATTATTATTATTATTATTATTATTATTATTATTATTATTATTATTGTATATTTATTTTTAAAAAAATGTTTAAATACTATACCTTTCAGGGTAAAAGTTATCCACATGGTTAATGTCTCATAAAAATCTGATATGGGATAAAGAAGGACTAAAATCACTAGAGATATTCTAATATTGTTAATAAGTATTGTTCTGAATGCTGAGCAGAAATATCAACCCCGTTCTAAAAAACCTAAAGTGATTTAAAGAACAGACTGAACTCCTCTGGATTTGGCCTGAATATAAGATTTGTGTGTCAGAAATTATGAGGGCCCAAAATTTTAGAAAAAAATATTTTAGTCAGTTGAATCGTAGTGGGGCTTTCCCAGAACATCCAAAATCAAATAGCTGTTCTATAAAGGAATACCAGCCTATAAAGGAACCACCACTTCTTGGTATTAGGCCTTTGCATGTACGATATGCATGACTGCAGGACAATTACCCAAATATTGTAAAAATATTAGAGCTGGCATCCAAAAAACTATAATCTTAGTTAGAAGGATTTTAAACAATTAATTTATCATTATTAGAGTTCAAAGTCATTAAAAGTAAAACTGGCCAGCTGATTAAGCATGTATGCAATAAACTGATTCATTACTCAAATGAAATATATTTGCATTAATGAGAAATTTAATATTAGGGCTTTGCAGACTTACAGACTTACAAGAGAAGAAATTATCCCTTTCTACCAAAACTATATAAAAAATATCAGAAACTGGGAAGACCGTCATTGTCACTTCTCTAAAGTAATAAAGAGTCAGTAAACATGAAAAGCTTTCTGGGTTAGAAATCTTTAGAATATAAATCAAAATGTGTCAGCTTTTTTTCTTTGGAGATTTTCTACCATAAAATGTGAAGTCTACTTTTACATCCCGCGTCATGTTACAAAAATCCTCAATCAAAAATGTATTTATTTGTGTGTAGTAATTCTTTTTGAAGTCAAAAACTTCCATTCATCCTGTCTTACAAAATGTATGATACTAATAAAAATAGAAATGGTGCTACAATAGAAATTGTTACATTAAAACCTAAAATTTCAACTATTTTTTTTCATTTCCTCCCCCTCCCCACAAAAAAGATAGATGCTTTGAAATAAACTGTTGTTATTTAATCTGAAGATTCTAAGGTTGATTAGATCCACATAAGAAAACCTGAATCGAAACCATGATTTACAGGTTAAAACCAACTGAACTCTATTGATTTAAATTGCAGTGACCGAAACATAGGAGTAACTCTCTAAAGTGGCTATCGTCTTCCAGCAAACAAGTAGCTTCATTCTACACAGTGAATGTTCCATGTGGTCTTCCAAGGAACCCCAAGAACTGAATATTGCTGTAATCCATCCTTAAGATGATAAGGACATCAGTTGCTGTTGATAGAGCCTGGGTTATTAACACTATAAAATCCTGAGCCTTTACTTTGTCTGCTTTAAATTTGTTAATATGTACTTATTCAGTGACTGCAGGAACAATTTAGAGAAAACTGAAAGGTTATAGACTCATGAATAATGCAAGTAAATAAAATGGCTATAAATTAATATTAATAAGAGATGTGTGTGATCTCTACTTTCCAGAAATGCTTAATGTAAATTTCTTAACAGGTCAACATTATTATGTAAGCTAAAAGAAACCAACAAGAATCAGATACCTGTTGCAGATCTTCAACTGTTTCTTTACTTTCTCCATTGGTATTCTTATAGGGCAAAATAAAGAGTTCAGCTGAGGTGGGTAACCCTGGCAAGATTGCTACCAAAATATGTTCACTGGAAATGATTGTTGCCTAATATGGGGAAAAGAAAAGTTTAGACTGACATTCACATTTCTGTCTCTGCAGCTAAAATAAACTTGAAACTTGTCTTGTATTATATTTTTTTCTAAATTTACTGACTATTAATACAAATAGTTTATTTTATTTTAATTTATATCCCATCATTCCAACATTTAACATTTTTTTTAACATTTAACACTATATTTAATGAGCCACCGCGGCTCTTATGCATCTACATCTTCCACCAAGAAAATCCATTTTCCAGTTTTTTGATAAGCATTATATTCCCCCTCCTATAGGCATTTCACAGCAGAGAATCATTGACAGTGGTAAATTTGATTGCTGGTTTTGGGGACTTAAAAATATACAGTTTAAAACTATCTGCAAAGAAAATTAATTAATGAACATGAATGACATGAATAAAGATTAGCAATAGCACTTAGACATATACGATTTCTCTGTGCTTTATAATCCTCTCTAAGCAGTTTACAGAGTCAGCCTATTGCCCCCAACAATCTGGGTCCTCATTTTACCGACCTCGGAAGGATGGAAGACTGAGTCAACCTTGATCCGGTGAGAATTGAAGTGCCAAACTGCTGGCAGCCTGCAGTCAGCAGAATTAGCCTGCAATACTGCATTCTAACCATTGGACCATCATGGCTCATTTTGCTCAGGCTTAAAATCATGGTGAATCCAAACATGGTAGCCCATGTTAAGCCATTCTTTATGTCTTAACTATGACATCCAAATTTTGTACCATCATATTGCTTGCATCCTGACAAGAAATTTTTTTTCTACACTTCAACACTTGAAAACTATTCAGAGTTAAAATTTCAGACTTTTATAGATAATTAGTAATACAGAATATATGGATTGATTCCACAAGTGTATTTAGCACAATGGTCCTATCATCCCTTGATCTGTGTCATTTTGCACAATGACAATGAGAAAGGATGATGAAGGATGATTAATGATTATATGATCATATAACACAGGCACAGGGCAGACTGCAATGATCCGTATGGACAAAATGTTAGACTGCACAAAAAGATAGGAATACAAGATAAAGACACCAAACTATATATTTTAAATGTTCAGCTAGTAAAAAGAAATACAACTCCATTTTTAGCATGCCACATAAGAACACGATTACAATGATGTGAGACCTAGGCATCTATTGTAAGGCTTCACAATACACACACACATACACACAATTTTTTTTAAAAAAATCTGAAATTAAATGTATGAGAATTGTTTATATTAATCTGATAAGTGGAAGCAGTATTCCTATAAATCATGCTTGTTTCTTAAATTGGATCCAGACTCTTCTAAATGCTCCTTTCAAAGCAATTTGGGAAAGATAATAAAATATGGGAACTTTTTTTTACCTCAACTAGAACTGTCTTGATGACATGACCAATGTCCCGTCTCCATTCAGGAATATCTGGATTGTAGTCATCCAGATTTGGAGAAAACGAAAGACGTAAAGACTGAAAATGCTCTAGAAGGAAGAAAAAGAAAGAGTGAAACGGAAAGGAAAAAAACCAGAGAATCTCAGGCTATTCAATGGTGCTCATATTAAATCAGTATACATTTAGGCAAAGAGGAGCACATTGATATTTTAAATTCTATTTAATAAATTCCCCCAAATATCTATCACTGCTGAAATTAGACTTTTTGAGGCCCTAAGCCCTTTGTTAAGAAGTTACACAAGATATCACAAATATGCATACCAAAAGTCAATCTTGGATCACCACAAAAAAATTGAAAACATAAAAGGCAAAATGGTTTGCCTTTTAATTATTTAATAGCAAAGTATTTAAAGTGGAAAATACAAATTAACTTCAAATGAATGCATTTACTGATTACATATTTATCATTTGCCTCACTGGATTTCTGTCATAGTTAATGATATAGTCTGTTTAAGTGTAATTTTAAAAATATTTTTAATATACAGACAAAAATGCTGACAAAATAAGTAATCAGTCATTTTTTATTAACATAAGTAAAAATGAACTTGTTGTCATAGTAAAAAAAAACTGATAGTGTAAACTTTTGTGAGACCCTGCAGATTGTGAGGCCCTATACCAGTGGTTCTCAACCTGTGGGTCGGGATCCCTTTGGGGGTCGAATGACCCTTTCACAGGGGTCGCTTAAGACTATCGGAAAACACATATTTTCGATGGTCTTAGGAACCGAGACACTGCTCCTCTATAATTGGGGGTCACCACAACAAGAGGAACTGTATTAAAGGGTCGCGGCATTGGGAAGGTTGAGAACCACTGCCCTATACTATAGCTAGTTTAGTTTATGCCTAAATCACCAACTAAAGGTCCCTAGGATGCAATATGGTCATTATTTCTGAATTAGTCACTCAGAGTTCAACTACAAATGTCTAATGGAAAAAAGGTCATTTGAAAGAACATTGGCCTATTTTAAAGGATTATATAGTGAAAGATATCAAAGGTATCTTTTTAAAGTACAGGCAGTCCTCGACTTACGATCATAATCAACATTTCAGTTGCTAAGTGAGACAGTTATTAAGTGAATTTTGTCCCAATTTTTTATGACTTATCTTGCTGCAATTGTTAAATGAATCGTTGCAGTTGTTAAAATAGTAACATGACTGTTAAGTGAATCTGGCTTTCCCGCTGACTTTGCCTATCAGAAGGTCACAATGGTGATCACATGACCCCGTGACACTGCAAACATCAAAAATATCAGCTGCTGTGTCTGAATTTCAAGTGACCTTGGGGATGCTGCAATGGTCATGTGGAAAACGGTAATAAATCACTTTTTTCAGTGCTGTTGTAACTTTGAACCGTCACTAGGTGAACTGTTGTAAGTTGTAAGGACTATCTATATTGCAATGGTCCACATAATCACAGCTGAGCAAGAAAGAGAGGAGAAAGAAGAGAAATTCACTATAGAAAAAGCTCCTAAATGTTCATCTTTCCACTATATTTAACAAACTGTAATGCTATAACTGTACTTTGTGCCCATTTTAGAAAGCGAACACATTTAAAAAGTCTGCAGACATAACCAATAACCAATGACTTATGCACTTAAAGTGCTTTCTGTATAAATCCTACTGATTAAACCATTTCCAACTTTGCACTGACCCAAAACAATTTCTAAATGAAGATAAATCTGAAGCCTTATTGGTAATCAGCTGATTAAGCGTTAGTGCTCTATGAACCAAGTTACGAGGGAGGTTTAAAAAAAAGAATCTAGACAAAATCTTCATTTACATGTCTTCAAACACATATGGTAGTTTGGTATATTTGTGTGTTTTCTTCAGTATTCCTCCAAATACAGACAGCTTGTAAAGCAATTAGGTTGTTTGCATTTTGAAAGGATTCAAATGAAACACTTGAAAACATCCCTCAAAATAAGACAAGCAGCATGGCAATTACTTTAAAGCAGTGCTGTAAAGAATGAGGAAACTGAGTGGGGATTTAAGAGATATAATGTGCTCAGCACTTGAAATTATACACAGATAGATGAATATACGGTAACAAAAATGAATGAATGTGTTGAGGTCAACCCTTTATCTGGCTGATCTTACTTCTGTCTGTAGCAAGAGATTCAGGGATGTGCCAGTAAGCTAACATTCCTACTAAAGATTCTCTTGAACTGAATAACACAATAGTTGTGATTGAACATACCCATATTCAAAAGTATGTGGTGGTGGTGATGAAAGTATGTGTATTTTTCTACTGTCTTATACTTACAGATTCTCAAACCTGTTGAGGGATAAATTCAGTGAAGGGAGTGGAGGGGGGGAATTATTCTCCAGGTTAGTGGAAGGAATTACATACCTACTTTGAACTAAGCTATGCTATTAATGCTTCTGCAGAGACCATCTTTCATCCTAGCTATTTTAAAGAAATATAGCTCAGCCTCCCAAATTTCCATTTGAGGAAAGTGTTTGGAGACAGTAGAGGACCTTTAGCTTTAGCATATAGAGGAAAGAGTTAATTTGAATCTCTTACAATCATATTGAGACCTGGATATTCTGTCAGGACAGAATCTGTTCTTCTAGGGGATAATTTATATCAAGAGTATTCCTGGTTCTATTAGATAAGGGGTGTCAAACTCATGGCCCGCAGGCCAGATACATCATGCACTGATCACCCCACCCCCATTTTAGCAAAGGGGGCAAATGTCATGATACATCACGTGATGATGTGACGACAGGGATTTGACACACCTGTATTAGATCACCCAGTTACTTAATCTAATGCTATCTCTCTCTCTCTCCCTAATTCTATCTCTATCTTTAAGTGAGGAATGCCATTTTTATTTTGAGTAAATTTTAACTAACCAGAGCCATCAGGGTAACTCACTGCTCACTCCAGGAGTTTGATTCTGAGAGGCTCAAGGTTGACTCAGCCTTTCATCCCTCTGAGGTTGGTAAAATGAGGACCCAAATTGTTGGGGGCAATACACTGACTCTGTAAACTGCTTAGAGAGGGCTGTAAAACACTGTGAAATGGTATATAAGTCTAAGTCCTGTTGCTATTAATTGGGGTTATATTTTTTCAAGTTAATTAAGAACGAGATTTTATCAGGGATTCTTTGGTTTTGGTTATATATTTTGTTGACTAAATTACCTGGTGTGTCTGTGATATGACAGAATAAAGCTTTGTGTTACAAAGAAATACTTAGTGCAGCTTTTCTGCACTGAATTTTTCTCAGAGAGCAAAATTAGTCTTATACCAATTCTCTTTCCTGTGGCAAAAAATATTTAGGTTCCTCATATAAGAGAACTATCAAGTTTACTGCAGCACTAAAGAAGCTCTAACAGAACATAGAATGAGCTATTAAAAAGAGAGCTACTGTGATCCACAAGCCATATGAGGTCTCCTGATCATTTTTGGAAACTGCACAAAAATTCTGATTCTCCTCACAGTTTTTGGTCAAAATAAGGTCTGATGTACGAATCTTGATTTGTTTCTTTGTCCCTTAAACCTTTTCCTGGTGATTTCACCGTGTCAACAAAAATGCTGACTGAAGGTAATTTATAAAAATTCAAAGTGTAGGTCTCAGTCAAAATCATGTGTTTATTTCTGTTTCAATATATGATCCAGGTGCTGGGTTGCTGAAAAATAAGAATTTCTCTGGGTGTAAATCTATTATGAAATACAAAGAATGCATTTTGTGAAGGATAAGTAGATCCTTGAACTTATAAAAGATAATATATATGAGTTCAATTTCAAAGCTCTTGATTGATATGATTGTCATATAGTTTCCTTGTATAGTTTTGTCCTTATGTTCCTTTTTCCAAGCCAAGAACACAGCAAAGGGGAAATGGCCACGGAAACCTAAGGAATAAATAAACAAGAATGAACAAAAATAGGGCTCACCATATACTGCAATCATTTTGGTGTCTTGCAGAATAGTGTTTCCTGCAGAAACTTGTACTGTGATTATGTTCATACCTTCTGTAGAGAAGGTAAATGTGATACTCCCTTCTAGAGTAATTAATGGCTGCAAATACATAAAAAGGAAACATGATAATTAATTAATGTATTCATTAAAAGCCAAGACAAACATGTTGCTAAAAACAAACTGGGATTGAAAATGTCCAAAGAATCATTAGGAAGATATTGCCACTGATTTATTTTTCTTACATTTTTCAATTGTATGAAAAAGCATAAATCATGAAAGGTTCTATAAACTATAAAACCTATCATCTAGAAAAGCCTCATAAAAGTACCAACATATGCAGAAAACAATGAATAAGCTCATAAAATACTAAAAGGGTAGTGATAATAAACAAATGCTTGCCTTGGGTTGTATAAAAACCAAGCCACACATTTGGGTTTACTAACCAGAATAAATCAGGATAATAAAAACAAATCAAATTAGGGCTTTATATAATGAACAAATTTTGAAAGGTACACGTACGCATGGATAGATTTGGTAAGACTGATATTTTCCCCTTTTTAATTCTTCCAATTTTTAATGTATAATAGCATGTGAATCAACCGTTGACTTACCTTCTATGTGTGCTGCGAGGGGAATCCAATCATGGGTTAACTTTGTCCATTAGCCTAGAGACTGAGTATGTAAATTTTGACCACGTCTCCTCTGACTGGACCAAGTCAGTTTTGCACAAAGTCAGCCGTCGAAAGATGTATGTCAATGTCACTCATGGCCGTAGTCAGAGCAGGTATGCAAGTCACGTCCAGAAAAGTCCAGTCAGGGAAGAAAGGCAAATTAGTCATAGAGTCAGAGTCAAGAGGAAGCCCTGGCCAGCCGAAACTGCGGGCGGGTTTGGATTCCCCTCGCAGCACACATAGAAGGACCGTTCAGGTAAGTCAACGGTTGTTCTCCTGTGTGCTGCTTGGGGAATCCAATCATGGGACATGCCAAAGCAATTAAGTCCCAGGACGGGAGCTAGGCTGGTCAGGATCCTCTGCAGAAGAGAGAACCCTTTGCAACACTCTCCGCCCAAAGGAGGCCTCAGCCGAGGCATACACATCAACTTTGTAGTGTCTAATAAATGGCGAAGGCGATGACCACGTAGCTGCCCTGCAAATCTCTTCCACCGAAGCTTGCATAGCCCAGGCTGCTGTGGTAGCTGCACTCCTGATAGAATGAGGAGTAATACGTCTGGGAACCGGTCGGGAATGGCTGTCGTATGTCAGCGCGATGCACGCCTTCAACCAACGGCCGATAGTATGTGACACCTTCTGTCCCATGGACGACGGCTGGAAGGAAACAAACAGTGCCTCCAATCTTCTGAACGACGCCGTACGCTTCACATAACGTCGGAGAGTCCTACGAACATCCAAATGATGCCACTGGCGTTCCTGAGGATGGGAAGGCTGTGGGCAAAAGTCTGGGAGGATGAGTTCCTGAGCCCTGTGGAACACCGTATTGACCTTCGGAAGGAAGGCCGGGTCCAAACGAAGCATCTGTTAGGATGGAAAATGCAGAGATCCCCATGAACAGAGAGGGCTGCCAACTCCGACACCCTCCTGGCCGATGTAATGGCCACCAGGAACACCGTCTTAAGAGTCAGCAACCAAATGCTGATGGAGTGGATGGGCTCGAACGGGGCAGATGTGAGTGCCCTGAGCACCAAGGTTAAATCCCAGGTAGGATAACGGTGCACAGTCGGAGGCCGTAGATTAGCTGCACCTTTCAGGAAGGACTTGACTCGTGAGTGCTGGGACAAGGAGCGGCCCTGACCGCCCCCAATCACCGTGGACAATGCCGTGGCCTGTCGGTGAAGCGTGTTGGGCGCCAGTCCCTTATCAAGTCCCGATTGCAAAAAGTCTAAAACTTGAGGTACTGAAGCCTTGATGGGATCGGTCCCGGTGCGACGGCACCACCTACAGAATGCCTGCCAGGTGGCCTTGAAAATACGAGTAGTAGATGGTCGTCGGGCCACCTGGATAGTGTCAATAACTTTACTCGAGTAGTGGAGGGC